CGGATTCTTGATTGAATGTGAATTGACTGAATTTTCATCATACTGACTAGACACACAGAAGAGAAAAACAAGATAACAAAAAACACTTTCGACTCGAGAATTCGGAACGCTCCGAAACGCTCATTTCAGGTGTTGCTGTCGGGGTCGTTTTTCGCTCCGTACTTGGAGCGCCCGCATTTGGCTAGCTGGGTAAACACTCTCTGGCAACTTCTTAATTTGTTCACCTCACCCAAAATGTAGCAACAAATTTTGCCGACTAACTCACGAGTATTTGCAATCCCGCATTCATGCCATAATTAACGAACCATGTCACAACAACTGTTTTCTTCGCCACCATGGATTTTTAATCAGCGCGAAGATCGCTGCCACCCACTCTAGTGCAGGTGCAGTGGAACAATAGCCGGAGTGGAGATTAAGTAACAGTGCAGTCGATCAGTGTGGCTGTCACTAAAGAAACGTATCTACATATGAATGTAGGCCGTTGCGTTGTGTAACCGCCGAAGTGTAGTGGGAAGTGAAGAGTTTCCCACATTTTTTTAATGAGTGAATGCTGTTGTTGATGGCTTATTGACAGCTGTAGCAGGAAGGAGGCTGTTGATTATTGAAGTGAGAAATTGGTGAATTTTCGCCTCTTTTTAAGCTAATTTCGCTTGGCAACTTCAGCGTTTAGTTTTGCACATTTTTTTTAATAATATTTCTTCTATGTTTGCGTTGTGCTCCGGCAAATCAAGAAATAAGAAACACAAAAAAAGTGTCTTAAGCTGAGCCTACACTTCGATCTTTGCACTTGTAAGTGCGAGAAACCGAAGGCGAAAGCAACTAGCAGTAGCAGTAGCAAATGTACTAACTTTGTTTGCTTACTGGCTCAGTGTAATTAGTTTAGACTTAACTAAGTTACTCCGGCGGCAATTTTTTCCACTCAGGTATCCATTTAGTATAATTAAGTATATGGGAACGTATATTATACACATACTTACATATGCACACTAGGGTGGTCCAAAAAAAAAAGTAAGGTCGGAATTTTTAAGCTCTCACCCCATAGGATTGTTCTATATCGAAAAAATATACACCAACTTTTTATTTTGAAATCAAAAAATATTTAAAGGTCGCTCAAAGTTTTCCATGTATTTTATATGGTAAAAAAAAAACCAATTTTCGTAGAAATGGTCTAGAGTTATTGAAAACCAAAATTTTTCGATCGGAAAATTCTGATTATCTTGCATTTTCTCGTGTTTTTGGCGGACCTATAAGATATAGTTACTATGAAAAAATTTTTAAATAAACAGTTGGGCACTACTATGGGGAAACTCCCGAAGAGATACAGAGTTTTCCGAATGAAAAATATTGATTTTTAAGAATTCCATAACATTTCTACAAAAAGAGGTTTTTCCCCCATATAAAATACATGGACAACTTTGAGCGCTTTGAGCGACCTCTAAATATTTTTTGATTTCGAAATAAAAAATAAGGGTAGATATATTTTTTTCGGTTTAGGACAATCTTAGGGAGTGAGAGAAAAATAATTCCGACTTTACTTTTTCCCGCATGCATTTTTGGGCCACCCTAATGTACATACATACCATATATGCATTTCTGGTCTTATATTGGTACTTTTACATGTTGCTGTAGCCATTGCTTGACTTGGCATAAATCAATTTTCTTGCTCACGTCACAGGCACGCGAGTAGCATAAAAAGCCACCACAAATGTATGTATGTATGTACATATGTATGTAAGTACATACGCCATAGTAGGTGAGTCACATTTTAAGGAGATGCGGTTTGCAAATTAACAATTTGAGGCCATTAGCCGATATGAAGTTGTGCAGAGCGATTATTTAGGAAGTAAATGAGCGATTATTTATCTCTTCTATTAAACTCCAGTATAAAGAATTGGTACCTTCGTTGGCAAGCCACATATTGATGTTAAGTTTTAAAGATTAGACGTGGATTCAAGAAGGATTAGAAACATGAGCCACTTAACAGTAGTAACAGTTTTTATTTTTTGAATTTTGAATTGTGTCGTGATTGCACAGAACCACCGATATGTATGCAAAAAGCTAGTATTTAGGTCAATAAATCGATACATACAGTTGTCCACAAAATAATAGGAGTGCGATATTTTGACCAGTTTTGGCTATTTGTCTTTTGTTTATTTAATGTTTATTATTTTTTTATAAAAGCCGAGCTGGCTATACAACAAACACCATATAAATTCAGACTTTAAACTTTGTATAAAAATTATAAAAATTGTGCAATTTTTCACCCAAATTTCAAACTTTTTAATCAGAATCTTTAGAAAAAATTCTGGTATGCAGTTTTGTAGCACATTCAATTCTAGTCTGAGGAAGTGCAAGTTTCAAGCGGCTAAAAAATTCCGTTGATTTTTGAGAATTTTTTTGGTTAAAGGTGTTTCAGGTTTTTTCCATACAAAGTATGTCGACAATTTTCTTTTATATGGAGGACACTGCCAGCAAAAAAATTGCCAAAAATCAACGGAATTTTTTAGCCGCTTGAAACTTGCACTTCTTCAGACTAGAATTGAATGTGCTACAAAACTGCATACCAGAATTTTTTCTAAAGATTCTGATTAAAAAGTTTGAAATTTGGGTGAAAAATTGCAAAATTTTTTTAATTTTTATACAAAGTTTAAAATCTGAATTTATATGGTGTTTGTTGTATGGCCAGCTAGGCTTTTATAAAAAAATAATAAACATTAAATAAACAAAAGACAAATAGCCAAAACTGGTCAAAATATCGCACTCCTATTATTTTGTGGACAACTGTATGTATGTTGGGAACGATATCAGTAGGCGTTTGTATATATGTATACTCATAATTTCGATAATAATGCCCATGAAAAGTATATTAGTACATCTATTTTAACGATAACGATATCGATGATAAGAAGATATCAAAAAATATACGAAACACAATATCGATAAATATATCGATACCGAAATTTTTAATGAAATTGAAAAACGCCAGCAGATATATTTAAAAGAGTAACAGTACCTATTTCCTAGAAATATCGAAAATTTTTTCGATAAGTACATTAATAAAATTATCGATTATAATGTCGATAACGCTATTTTAAAATATATTTCTTCATAAATTTATCGATAACGAAGCTAGAAAAAGATTTTTTTATTAAAAAAAAAAGAGAACCAAGTGCCCTACATCAAAACTTAATGAGTGCAACGCAAATTCACAGTTTGGTTTCCATCACAGCTCCTAAATTCTGTGTCAAGGCCCTCTATTTGTCAACCAGAAATAAACGAATTTTTTTTTTTTGGTATGTAATTCGGCATCTCATTAATTTCAGCGATTCTGATTACCAATTCTGGTACTAAGTATTTTTTGATAAAATTGTTTTTGCAACACTTAAAACAGAAACTTTCCCTCACCCCACAATTTTTGCGCTCATGCTTCATTACTATGAAATCAATATCACATTCCATGAACTCTTAGCGCTCACTCAAATTTTGTGGTACGTATGTATGAGCATATGTTAGTGTTTTTTTTTTTGCATTGCGGTTTGCCACAAGGGTATCAAATGTGTTTCTCTCTTCTCCCTTTCGATTTTATATCTGATAATAAAATAGTGGCAGACAACCGGTGAGGGTTACATGTACATACATATGTATGTATGGGTCACAGCTACATTTTCATGTATATTTTCCCCCACCAATTTGTTTTAATATTTTGGTCAAATCCTTTGGGTATTAAGTCCTGAAAAGACAGCAATTCGAACGAAAAGTCCGGACAAAGCACATTAGGGCGACACAAAGTGTAAGTAATACTATATTTGTATGTGAAACTAGTAACAAAGTAGTCACTAGTAAATTATAAATCTTTCTTGGGGCTGAAAAAGTGAATATAATGTTCTCATATCGATAAATACATAATATCAAAAATTATATTAGTTGCGATCCCTTAGGAGTCCGGACTAGTCAGAAATAGTCAGAATCAGTCAGATTTTACTGGAAATCGATCCCGTACTCGGTTCTCTGACTATTGAGAGGACAAAAAAGAGAGTAAATACGGTTCTCTCTCTGTCAGAAGTTACCAGTTTTAGTCCGAGAATTTTTTGCTGGTAAATTCTGGTAAATGTGTCAAACGATCAGCTGTAGTGTAGTGTGTTTTGCAACCAAATTGTAAACAAAAGAAAAGTGCACTCTGCTAATTCATGTTGAAAAGTATTTAATTACTTGTTTAAATGGATTCTAATGAATTTGAAAGTATTTTTGGTTATTTACATGTGTGAGCTGAGTGTGTTTACATACAAAATAAGCAAAAATTTACAACCAAAATTTGGAGGTTATGTTGAAGTTGACAGAAGTTACCATTTTTTACTAGAAAGCGATCCCGTACTTTTCAATGTTACTCTCCCGCTCTGAGCGAATTTTTATTTTTTGACAGTTTTACTAGTCCGAGTCCGAGGAATACGGGATTACACCTATTAAAGATACATCGACATAGATAAAAGTGTGGATAACAATATCAATTACCACATTCATCGATGTATTTCGATAACATTATAGAAAAGTTTATCGATAATATCGCTGAAAGTGGGGTTATGTACATCCATGCTTAATGCCTTGGTTATAATGGACGGGGCGAATCGTAACAAATCGTGACGAATTCGTAAGGATCTATTGATTTTAGATTGTTCCGTCTTACGTTACGTTACGTGCATTCTAACCATTTTCATTTATTTCCCATACAATAGACAATTAAGTGACAGTTCACTCCGTTCCGTTACTTCCATTATAGCCCAGGCATAACGATTTATATAAATACACCCACAACGTTATCGATTAACAATTCGATAGCATTATAGAAAATTCTATCGATAATATCGCTGAAAGTGGGGTTAGATATATCCATGGTTAACAATTTAGATAAAAACACCGATAACGATATCGATAAATATATCGTTCTTCACTCGATAACTTCATATTCACTAACAAAATCCTAATTTTTCCACTCTCTTTTTCAGATTTCACGCTGTATCTGAAAAGCGTAATCCATCGAATCGATAACTGCAGTCTCTACCTAAAGGTTTCATTGTTGAAGTCCCAAAGGGCCACACGCACACAGTCGCCCACAAAGGCGCTGTGGTGTTAGCGGTTGGTGGCTGCGGTTGCTCCGCATACGGAGTTGAAGCCACAGAAAAACACCAAACCAAGCCGCTCATCGAAACGCAATCAACTCGGAGGAGTAATACATCCCCTTACTGCTAAGCGGCAAACATGAATGTGATGCGTAAGCTGCGTGGCAATACCAACGCCACAGGTTCACCCACCGCTGGAGCAGGTGCCACAGCCAATGGCAATTTGTCGCCGGCGGGCGCCGCAAGTGGGGCGCGTGTTGGTGAGGAGACCAACGCTGCCGCAGATGCGCGCATACAAATCAGTCTGCATACGCTGAAACAACTCTTCAACGAGTACACACACCCCAAGGAAGCGCTCAGCGAGCATGAAAGGGATATGAAATTGTATCAAATGTTGCCGTTATTTTGCAAGGTATTGTGCGGTTAACTCACTGCATTATTTATAGCAAGTAATTTCTCTGTTGCTTGTGGTGTTTGCAGGTTTTCAGCACTTGCCCGGCAGCGGATATGAGCGAAAAGTTCTGGGATGTGGTAGCGTTTTGTCAGCAAGTATCGCGGCTGATGGTCAGCGAGATACGGAAACGAGCCTCCAATCAGAGCACAGAGGCGGCGTCAATAGCGATTGTCAAGTTTTTGGAGATCGAAACAACCGAGGAGACCAGCAGCGGCTGGATGCTGCTGTCTACTTTGAATTTATTGGCCAACGGAGATGTGTCGTTGATACAGGTACCTATATACATACAAACATAATTTTCTGGTAGCAAAAAGGTTTAATTGGCTGGCAGGCTGTCCGAAGTCAATTAGACGGATGAAGAAAGCAAAACCAGCGATCCCATCGATTATACAAAAAATTATGAAGTTATTGCCAGAGTAACGTGGATGTTTCCGCAATAGTTCAGCTCAATTGAAACCGAGTCATCTCAAAAGTTTCGATCAAATATAATCTCAATTTAGAAGTAGCTGCTTGAATAGATGATTCAATTCTGTAGGCTAAATTTATTGACTACTGAATGTATTCCCATTGCACATACGTCACAGCAGTCTGATATAGGTTTGAAACCAAAGCAACCCGAATTACGTTGACTTTCCTTTACCTCACGGCTTCTCAGCTATCATCTGGAACCACTTGAAGCTCATCAGTTTCGTATGCACTAATCTGCCAAGCACAAACATTTCTATTGGTCGCCGATGACGCGGCACCATTTCTATTTCCTCCTCAATTTCGACATCTTCCATGCCCTCCTCGGGCCGCTGCGGCTCCGGGCGAATGAACAGCGCATCAAAGGCGAATGTTGCATGCAACATGTACATGCCGCCAGTTGCCAGTGCGGCGATACTTTGCGCCTTGCAATAGAAAAAGAAGGGGTGCCGTGGCTCCTCAAAGTCAGAGAGAAACAGCAATTGAAAATCATTCTCTGCATGATACATGGACAACAGTGATGCCCCGAAGTGTGCCAGCGCGCCCAATGTTGTGGGGATGGCTTCCATTATCTCATTGCGAGCGCGGCCGCAGCAAATATTGAGAATGCCGAGCAATGAGTACACCGTAAAGCTGGCGAAGGTGCCGCAATAGAAGAGATTGTGCGGCAGCGGGTCGGTTTGAACGAAGCCCAGCACGTGAAATGTAAGGCAGCCAATGCCCAGCAGCACTTCGAGTAGCTTGAAGAAGCACCAAATTTCCTGCATGTGGCGTTGAGTAGGGCAATTATAGACAAGTGTTTTGGAAATTTTCTTCAATTAAATAAATGTTTATTTACTTTTTTCCTCCTCTACTTCACAGGTGATGACAGCAGCCGCAGTGCCATCCACGCTCGTCAAATGCCTGTATTTATTCTTTGACCTACCAGTGGTGGAGGACGATCCAGCGCCGGGCGTTGGCGAGTCAGCTAGCGATTTCAATGCCTTCGAGCGTCGCACACTGTTGCAGAAAGTCTTCGTACAGCTGTTAGTTAAGCTTTGCTCATATCCGTATCCGGCTGAGGAGCTGGCGCGCATGGACGACCTCACACTGCTCTTCTCGGCCATTACCTCACCCTGCCCAACGCACAACATTGTGTGGCGCAAAAATGCAGCAGAAATATTGACGACCATCTCGCGGCATGGACTTAGCGACGCCGTTGTTAGTTATATACATTGTAAGGCGTTTTTGGTGTTGTTTGTGGTATTTCCTTATTTTAAAGCTATCGTTTGTTTTCTGCTTTTTAGCCAAGGGCTGCATGGCTTTATGCGTGGATAATATGCAACGGTTGAGCTTTGGAAATCCGTTGGAAATCGTCGAAATGTTTGTTACCGTTTTTTGCTTCCTGAAGGATTCTAGTCAAGTGTCACAAATTTTGCTCGATGATTTCAAAGCGTCTCAGGGATATCTCTTCCTCACCGATTTTTTGCTCAAGTAAGTTGAAAAGCATCGCGAAAAGGATGGGATAAATGATTTTCCGGTCCAGTACCCTTTATCATCTTTCCTTATCTCTATCTTTAAGATTCGACACCAGCCGGACGCATTCCATTGAAGTACAGGCCGCCATACGCAATCTCGTATTGATGATCTCCTCGCTTTGCATGTGTGGCTTCAATGAGCTGCGCCCGCCGCAGGTGCAAAACACGCTCTTCAAGATGCAAAACTTTCAAATACCACAGGCTAGCTCGCGTGAAACTTGCGTTCGCAATATCTACGCATTCCAAGTGCTGCAAACCGTCTTCCTGAAGTCCACTTCACCGGCACTTTGCTGCACCATACTCGACGCCATATCGCGCGTATATCACTCGGAGAATGCCAACTACTTCATACTCGATTCGGAGAATACGCTTAGTCAATTTACAGAGCGCATACATCTGAAGGGCCCACAGATACAGGAGAAATTTTTCGATCTACTCGAGTTCATTGTATTTCAGCTGAATTTTGTGCCGTGCAAAGAGCTGATAAGCCTCTCACTGCTGCTGAAGAACAATCACTCGACCAGCTGTAGCATCCTCTGCCTGAAAACGCTACTCAATATTCTACGTCACAATGTCGTGTTCAAGGAAGTATATCTCGAGGTGGGCATACTCGAGGTGTTTGTCACCTGCTTGAATCGCTATGCGGACCATGTGCGCAAGATAACCAAATGCGATGAGAGTGTGGTACTTATGCCGGAGGAAGATGACGTCGAGGATCTCACGGATACGCTGGGCAAGCACGTGCTCGAGGCGCTCACCATTCTGCTTAGCGGTAATAATAACAACGCGAATGTGTTTCGAGAATGCAGCGGCGCCAAGTGCATACACGATTTGGTGAAGTTCAAACACTGTCGGCCGCAAGCACTGGGCATCATACGTGAACTAATACTGTCTGCGGGCGGCGACGATGATATGCTTTTCATACTATCCGTTATGCATGCGGTGCCGCCATACCAAGTGGAGTTCAAAATACAAATACTCAATATGCTGTTGGGCTGCTTGAAGGACTCGCATCGCACGCGCACAGTTTTTCGTAAAGTGGGCGGCTTTGTCTACTTGACCAGCGTTTTCGTCTCGCTCGATGGCAAGTTGTGCGACGAGCCGTTGGTTAGTGCCGAGCCGGACGCGCAAAACATAACACAGGATGATTTGATATTGCTGCTGCAGATTGTCTGCCAAACGTTGGCCACCGCGATGCGCTTTGAGCCGGCAAATGCGAAATTTTTTCATCAGGAGATTTGCACTGCTTCGCTTTGCGATACGCTGCGACTGCTGGGCTGTTTCGGTAGCGCCACTGAACTGAGCGACTTCAAGGGCGAGTTCAAGAATGAAAGTGCAATGCAAAAGTATTTCCACGAAGTTTTCTCGGGCGATATATTAAACTACAGGTTAGGTGTTGCGATCCCAGACAAAAATGGTTTCAATTATTTAGGTTTTCCACTTTCTCTTCCTCACAGCTTCAATGCAGACATACCGCGTTCGTTGTCCTACGTATGTGTTGTGTATCGTCTGTTGTACAGCATTGCTTTGGACAACTTCGAAACGCCAAATTTGTCGGGCGTCATAACACTCTTCAGCGACTCGCATTCGCGTTCGCCCAGCAAAGAGCTGCCACCTGCGCATCCCAACCAATTGAACCTTACGCAGCCCACACCAGAGCCACGCATTGTACACCCAGGCGTTGTACTCTGTATGCTCCAGCTGCTGCCAAGCATCTCACACGACACCAGCGCCGTACTGGCTCTCAATCTGCAAGTTTATCTTAGCGAAATCATCAAATCCTTGGTGCGCAACGAGCGCAATCAGCAAATCATGTGCGACTATGGACTCGCAGAGCAGCTGTTGAAAATTGCGCGTAACGCTCTCTCCGAAGAATCCAATCCGCTGCACGTTTCTATGCAGTACGTGTTGGAGCGCTTGGCCGCGCAGGCTTTGCAGCCCACAGAGTTGCGTGAATTCTTGCGACTCGGTGAGCCGCTTTCCTGTGCCGACATCGACTTGCGCAAACCGTACCGCATGGGTGGCCCAGTGCCGTTGACACGCATCAAGACGCTTGTTTCGATGACAACACCTCGAGACTTTCGCGCGCATGGTTCGAGCACTTTGCCACCATTCGTGGAGATGGACATGTCTGCAGAGGGCTTTGGCTGCTTGTACTTGCCATCGCTGGCACCACAAGCCACCGCCACCACTGGCGGCACAATCGATGCCAACACAATCGGAGGCATTGGCGCTGGTGATCGCATTTTTCCACCCCAAACAGGACTCTCGTACTCCACTTGGTTTTGTGTGGAGAAGTTCTCGGATCCAAAGACGGATCCACATTGCGTACGGCTGCTGACGCTGGTGCGTACTATACACAATCCGCGCGAAGAGAATTTGGTTTGCTTATCAATACTGTTATCGGCGCGCGACAAAGCGATTGTGGTGTCCACGCAGGAGACGTTGGTGACGCCGAGCAAAAGTGAGTTAATATATATATATTTTTTAAATTAAGGTTCTTCGATACTATTTTACTGAGTGTTCTTATAAAACTATTCACTGCTGTTCTATTCACTTGAGGCCTAGGCGATTGGGAGCCTGAAGGTTCAGACGATGGCAGTGCACGCATTTGGTGTCCCGATTTGTTGCATGAGGGCCAATGGCATAACCTAGTTGTGGTGCTCAACCGCGCTGTACTAAAGAACTCCAGCCTTTCACTGTACTTGGATGGCACCGTACGTGTTTTTTTAATTTTATTTTGCAATTTTCCATTAAATTCGTATTTCTTTTCTGATCCGTTGTCTCACTCCAGCCCATGCACACGCAAAAACTTCATTATATATCCCAAAATCCGGGTGCTGGTTCCGTCAATCTGGCCGTTGCCAGTCAGGTCTATGGCTACATTGGCACTCCTCCTATTTGGCGGCGTTATTCGCGTCTTTGTTGGAAGCAAGGCGTTTGTCATTTGTTGGAGGATGTGCTCACGCAGCAAACTGTACAGACCATTTATAACTTGGGGCCACACTACATGGGATCGCTGCAAGCGCCGCAACTAGGCAAGCAGTGTGAACCGCTGCCGCCTTTGGTGCCGGAAGACCGACTTCTCCTGGGACTCAATGCAAAAGCGGTTTCGCAATTAACTTTGGTAAAAATACGTAAGGTTTATAGTCGCGTCGATAACAAATCCATAGCCAAAGTATTGGGCATGAATTCGCATGAGAATGCCACGCCCATAAGGTAAGCAAGTACATGCTTTCTAAATCCAGATACAGCTTCACAGCATTCACTTCTTTCCATTTCTCCCACAGAATCCTGCATAATTCTGCTGGCCACTTGGCGGGCGCTGGCCGCTCACTCGGCGGCGTAGTCGTCGGCTACTTGGGCGTGCGCGTCTTCAGTCCACACCCCGTCTCTGCCATGATCGACACGGTGGGTGGTTGCAATGTGCTGCTGGGCATCATCGCCATGGCGCAGGATGTGGAATCACTTTACGCTGGTGTCAAAGCGCTCACTTGTGTGGTGCGCAGCAATAGGGCCGCTCAAAGCGAAATGGATCGCAAGCGCTGTTATCAAACACTGGGCATGTTTTTCAAGAAGAAAAAGAATCTACTCAATTCGCACATACTACACTTGACTTTTGGCTTGGTCGGCACCGTCAGCAGCGGCCAAGATATGTCAGCCATTCCTAATATAACCGCTTTCCAAGATCTGCTCTGTGACTTAGAAATTTGGCATAATGCGCCAAATGGCCTGCTACGCTCGCTGCTAGAACATCTCCTCGAGTTGGCTATTGAGTCGAATGAAAAGAAGCAGAATGTGAAGATCATGGGCAACCTGCAGCTGCTCAACAAGCTATTGCACATCATTATCGACATACAAGATCACTCGACGCGTGAGATACTCTTTAATCTGATTGAGACACTGCTTGGCGGTCAGCCGCGCCACAGCGACCTGTTGCTCTTCGGCCAGTACATCGCTGCCAAGTTGCCCAAGTCCGATCAGGTTGAGAAGTCAATCATACTGCCAAGTATGCGACCCACGGGTGGCGTTAATGGAAATGCTTTCAGCGATCAAGAGGCCATGGCTCAAAACATTTATCTACGCAACCGCTGCCTCTCGCTGCTGCATGGGCTGCTCTTCACGCCACGCAATACCGTCAACTACATAATTTGCGACGACATCTCTAAGACGCTGGGCATGGATTGGCTTCTACTCTTCATGCAACCGCATGTACACTTCACGAGCGTCATTATTGCGGTGCGTATTTTGGTGGTGGTCTGCGCCAATGAGAATTTCATGGTGCGCTTTAGGGACTCAACGCACAATGGCGGCTACTTGCGCTTCACCGAAATGGTTTCGCAGAAGAAAATTTTGGCATTAGGAGCTCCACAGTTGAATACGGGCGTGCAGAACACTGGCGGCTCGGTTATTGTGACCACAGCCAATGTCGTGCAGCACCTACCAACGCAGATCGCGGGCGAAGTGCGCACTATAGCGCTGAGTATACCAGGTGAGGCGCAGTAATATGATATTTTTATCTACTACTTCCGCATCTGATTACCTACTAACTTCTTTCTTAAATAGGCTTCCAAACGCTCGAGTGGTTGCTCACTCATCATCTGGACGTGCCGGAGCTATATTTCCTCATCACCGCTCTGATTATGGGCCAACCAGTGAAAGTGCTCGCCTCTGAACACACAAAATTCGATTTAGACCGCGTGCGTCTCTTCCTATGGGGCACACCACCCTCTTCGAATGCGCCACTCCCAAAAATGAATGTTTGCCCCGAGGCTGTTTGCGTGCTGCTGGGCATGGTCCGCGCGATTGTACACTCGACCGAATGCGCCAACTGGCTCAACAGCCATCCCGAGACAATAATTCAACTGCTCTTCAATTTATATCAGAATGTCACCGACTTCATGCCCGTCATGATGTCCGGCGACGTCATTAGCTCACTGGTAGCGGTGCTCTTCCCCATTTCGAAGGAGCCGAATATTGATTCCGAGCCGAATAGCGGCAACTCATCGCCCACCGATAATGGTAGCGGGGGTTTTTTGCTGCACGCCGCACACAGTGGCTTGAATGCGCCCGCGCACAGATTGACACAACATCCGGTGCGCAAATGCATTATTGATTTCCTGCGCGTGATTGTTGTCGATTCGCTCAGCCTGAATATGCATGGTAAGACCACGCCCGTAATTGATCTGGTGTTGGATGCATCACCCGAGGCGGCGGAAGTGGCATTGCAAGTTGAGTATCAGACGGAAATCATCACCGCCTTGATGGAGCATCTCCTGGCTGCGGATGTTTTAGTGGGCGAGCAAGCGGCGCTCTCCATTGTGCCGCTGCTACAAAGCCACACACAGCACATAGCGCCGAACGTCTTCTACTTCACAGCGCGCGTGGTAGACAAGATGTGGCAGGGCTGCTTGACGCGAAATCCGCACGACATTTTCGACTTCGTCATCAAGTTGATTGCGCAAGCCAAGCGGCGCTCCTCTTCGCTGACCATAGAACAGCTGCATCACTCACTAAATCGCACGATATTATTCCTGCTATCGCGTCCCACAGAGTCAATAGCCGAACAAATGAGTGTGCTGGAAGCTTTGCACAACATTATAACCCATCGCTTGCTCATCTTTGGCGCTGGCAATCACGAGTTGGAGTTCATCGGCTGCCTGACTTATTGTTTGCTGCAATTGACGTCGGATATGAAAATTATATTAGAACCGGCGAATAGAAACACCACTTGGCATGTTAATCCACAAACGGATACAGTGGAGCCAAAGGATGAAGACCTCAATCAGCTGCAGGTAGGTCAACAAACAATTGGGCAAAATAAAATCAATAACAAAATACAAATTCATTCACTTCTCTCATCGCTCATCCAGGGCCGAAATTTAATTGTGGGCGCCGCCTTTCGCGTCTGGGAAGAGTTGTACGTTTGCAAGAAGCCAGCCATTGAAGAAGTATTCAAAGTATCGCTCACGCCACCACCGCCCAATTCCAAAGCGCCTGATTTGCAGAGCACGCGCGAGCAGGTAATGGAGTTAGCCTCCAAGCTGTGGTTCAACTATGTGGATGCTGAACGTAAGGCTTCCTATCGCATACCCTGGGAGATACACAATCAAATACAGTCGAAAATACAGAAAGTCACCGGCGGTTTGACGCGACTCGCGAGTCGCACCAAAGTCAAAAAGGATGAGCTCGTACGCATCAAATCAACAATGAGCAAGGAGAGCGCTTTCGATTGCACGAGCATACATGTACAGCTGATCAAGTAAGTACGAGTAGGAGATGTGATTAAAAGGTAATTTCACATTAAAATTATATTTCTTTTCTCAAGGGACCTTTGGGAGCTGCGCTGCAAGCAATACATACAAATGCAACAACACACGCAGCGCTACGTCTATCAAGACTGGATACAGTCGGAGACAGAATTGACACGTGAACGTGGCTTGTGGGGCCCAGAGGGCAGTTCTTCGTTGGATAAATGGATTTTGGATACGACAGAGGGACCGCATCGAATGCGCAAGAAGACAATGCGCAATGAGTTATTCTATTTGCACTACCCTTACAGACCGGAGATCGATTTGCCTGATAATGTAAGTGTAATCGAGACAGGTGCTATAGAAAGCGACAAGAAACGGTATCAAGAAAAATAAGCTCAAATAGCTCGGAGTTCGGAGCATTACAAAAAAATAAAATAAGAAACTACAGACTTTCGTCCATTATGTAAAATTTTATTATTGAATTGTACTTCTACAGCAGCGGTATTGAATTGAAAAATCGTCGTTCCCACGGCAGTCGGGTCTACGTAACCGGAACGACCCAGATTTATTTATGTACATATATCTGACCAAGGACTGCTACTCCAGCATAACTCCCCAAAAACTCTTTGGAGAATTTGTATGCTGCTACACAATAACAATTGCAAAATCGTCAATAAAAATGTAACACTTGGGATCTTGATCTTTATTTCTTAACTTTAATCTTAAATCAGGGTTGTACGGATACATTTCATGTAGATTATGTCCTGATCTACTCGGTGACGAGATTTTGAAGTCATACTTTTGTATGCCGAAATCATGCTAAATATTTAAATCTTTTCTTAATTTCTCTCATTTTTCATTCGCTTCAACAGCGTCAATTAAAATACAAAGTGGCCACAAGTTTCGATAGTAAAATCTATTATATCCACTGTCAGCAACCGCCGCGCATACTGTGCGAAACAGATTCGCTTCAACAACAACACTCCATACAGCAGCAACAATCACTGGAAGCAAATAATACAAAGCATCCACACATCGCTCAGCACTCTGACTCGCAGACGAGCAGAAGCGAACAATCAGGTGGCGGTAGTAGCAGCACGCCACCACCAGCACTACCACACTCGCCTACAGAGGCAGTTACACGCTTGCAAAATCCACAGGAGTCTATAGATACAAGTGCTCAAGAGGATGACGAGGAAGAGGAGGACACCTCAATGATGTCCGATAATGAAACATTCCTCCGTCTGTTGGAGGAGCAAGAGAAAATTTCCTTCATGTTTCGCTGTGCGCGCATTCAGGGTTTGGACACCTTTGAGGGCCTGCTGCTCTTCGGCAAGGAGCACTGCTATATTGTCGACGGCTTCACGCTGCTGAAGAATCGCGAAATACGCGACATTGATACATTGCCACCAGGTGCATATGAGCCGATTATACCGAATTCGGGTGGACCTACGCGCACGCAGAAGGCTCGCCAGTGCTCAAAATTCGCCTATGAAGAAATTAGAGAGGTGCATAAACGCCGCTATCTGCTGCAGCCAATAGCCTTGGAGGTATTCTCGGAGGATGGACGCAATTATTTGTTGAGTTTCCCGAGAAAAGTGAGGAATAAGGTGGGTATACTACGGCGGAAGCAGGTTGTTAATGCCATTTGAAATCCTTCATGGACCTCTTTCCCCCCCCCTTCTAGGTCTATCAACGTTTCATGGCACAGGCGACAGCCATCAATGACAACGCACAGCAGTCGGTGGCAGGCCAGAAGCGAACAGCAAGTGTGGAGCAAACCTCGGGCATTTTTAGCAGTTTGATTGGCGAAACATCAGTCACGCAACGTTGGGTGGTACGTAAGATCTATTTTCGTTGTACTCAGATCTTTTATCAGTATTTTCCCATTAACAGCGCGGTGAAATCTCCAACTTCCAATACTTAATGCATTTGAATACGCTGGCTGGCCGTTCGTATAATGATCTCATGCAATATCCAGTCTTCCCCTGGATAGTCGCCGACTACGAATCGGAAGAGCTAGATTTGTCAAACCCAAAGACATTCCGTGACTTCTCGAAGCCGATGGGCGCGCAATCAGAGGAGCGCCTAGAGCAATTCCAGAAACGTTTTAAGGTAAAGAAATTTTCTTTTTCTTTTTTTGTGGAAAAAATTGCAACTCTCTTGCTCCCAATATTTACACTCTTTAATAGGAGTGGGATGATCCACATGGCGAGACGCCTCCCTACCACTATGGCACGCACTACAGCTCTGCCATGATTGTTTGCTCGTATCTGGTGCGTTTGGAACCATTCACACAACACTTTTTGCGTCTGCAAGGCGGCCATTTCGATTTAGCTGATCGCATGTTTCATAGTATCAGAGAAGCGTGGCAATCCGCATCCAAATTCAATATGGCTGATGTAAAGGAGTTGATACCGGAATTTTTCTATCTTCCGGAATTTTTGAGCAACGGCAATAATTTTGACTTGGGTAAGCAGATGAATAAGTTGGGGGAGTGGACTTGACTTAACGCGTTGCATTTCTCTTAAAAAAAAAAAAAAAACAGGCACAAAACAAAACGGCGATACGCTGAATCATGTCATCCTACCACCTTGGGCTAAGCAGGATCCCCGTGAATTTATACGCGTTCATCGGAGTGCTTTAGAGTGTGATTATGTTAGCCAAAATCTGCATTTGGTGAGTGCCGAACGAAATTTTAATTCTAATTTAGCAGTTGCTTATAATTTTTCGCCTTCAATTCTAGTGGATTGACTTAATATTTGGGTGCAAGCAACAAGGTCCCGCTGCCGTGGATGCAGTGAATGTTTTCCACCATTTATTTTACGAAGGCAATGTAGACATTTACAAGTGAGTTGCTTTCTTCTATCCAAATATCTGCTGGTTACTGATTTTTATATTGTCCTTAGCATCGACGATCCGCTGAAGAAGAACGCCACCATCGGCTTCATCAACAATTTTGGCCAGATCCCCAAACAGCTCTTCAAGAAAGCACATCCTGCTAAGAAAATGTCCAATTCACGGCATTCCGCGCTAATCGATCCGGGCGCTTTAATACAGGGTAACACCACCGTTTTACAATCGGAACGTTTGTTCTTCCATAACTTAAATAATCTTAAACCGAGCCTCCAGCCAATCAAGGAACTGAAGGGACCTGTTGGTCAGATATTGCAACCAGATAAGACTGTGTTTGCCGTCGAGCAGAATAAGGTGAGCATGAAGAACGTGAAATATATTTCCGTAATTGTGCATCCATTTGATATGTACATACATATATATTTGTATATTTGTTAAATTTCTTGTCGCCCAGGTAATGATGCCACCCTCCTATACGAAATATATCGCCTGGGGCTTTGCCGATCATTCGCTCCGCATTGGTCTGTACGACTCCGATCGTGCTTCCTTTGTTTCCGAGGCCGCTGCACAAAACTCGGGTGAAATACTCTGTTGCGCTTGTCCCAATGGCAAAATGATTGTGACTGCCGGCACTAGTTCAGTTGTGACGATATGGAAATTCGATGCGAATCGCAAGAGTCTCACCGTACGCAACTCCTTGCACGGGCACACTGATGCCGTCACTTGCTTGGCAGCAAGCGCTGCATACAATGTAATCATATCGGGCTCGCGCGATGGCACCGCGATCGTTTGGGACATGTCGCGCTTCACATTCGTACGGCAGTTGCGCGGCCATGCGGGTGTTGTTGCCGCCGTGGCCATCAATGATCTTACGGGCGATATCGCGACATGTTCGGCAACTTGGCTGCACGTTTGGTCAATCAACGGCGATCCGCTGGCGATGGTGAATACGTGCGTAGGTAGCGCCGATCGCATGCAGCAAATATTATGTGTTTCCTTCTCGCAAATACGTGAATGGGATCAGGAAAATGTGGTGATCACTGGTTCTACAGATGGCGTAGTAAGGGTGCGTATGCAAGTTATGCATGTTTAATTTTCGAAAATGAAATGTGTCTTGTCTTTTTTTTTTTTCTAGATGTGGTCCTTAGAATACACGCAAGTACCAATCGAGCGCAAGCTCAAGCGCGCCACCGAGGTGAGTTCACAAGATCGGCCCGTTAGCATAGAGCGTGAAAACTCGTGCGACTTGAAAGAAGGCGGCAAACTGAACATACTCAAGCAAATGAAGAGTCTATCGTTGCAAGATGAAAATGGTGAGAAATGAGAGTAGTTTCGAAAACCATGTTTTACCTAACTTACGTAATATCTTTGCTTCCAAATAGCAATCGCCAAATCTGGTTCGGAGAGCAGCATATCAGAAGCTTCAGCGCATTCTCAGCAATCCACACATTCGGAGAAGGAAACAGTAGAGACCAAAGAGTGCGCGGACAAGGAGAACAAAGAAGAAAGTGAAAGGCGTAAAAGTTCTTTGTCTGGCGCAAAGTCATTGCATGAAATGAAAGCATCAACAGTGGATGGCGAAAGCGTAGCCAGCAAATGTGTTGAAGGTATGGAGAAAGACAATGAAGAAAAAATTTGTATTTGAAATCTTAATTTTTTGCAGAGGAAGAGCGCACTATTCGTCCCAGCAAATCAGACACCAGTCTCACCGATGGTTTCGTAATGGTGGACAATGATAAGCACAAAAGTGAGCAGTCCCTGAGAAAAGGTCAGTTGTTTTGTGGCAGCTTCAAAAAAGCTACTCAAATGAAATTAAATGAAAAATAAGTCGTTTTAAATAAGAAAATCGCATTCATATCCTCACATCGTCAAAAGGGCGTTTTCGAACTGGAATCAGGTGTCGATATGTGTTAGCTACACCTACATGACTCTGAATGACTCAACTGTGTGTAGTCGAAAGGCGAGTCAACACCTACACAGTTGACTTGCGAGTCAGACGTACCGTCTATGTTGCCCATAAGAAAACAAATCACATAACATCATATGGATCACATCGCATAACACTTTAATAGAGCTAATATTTAGGAATTGGCCAAAATCGCTTAAGCGGTTACAGGGCCAAATAAGAAGAAGAATATTAATGCATTTAAAATATCCCCTTATGATCTTTTTTTAAATAATAAGCTAATCTTAAAAAAAAAAAATGTCTGACCTCCCAATAAATTTCCCCCTTTTTTTAACAGGCTTCAAATGGCAACGTCAATTAATGTTCCGTTCCAAGCTCACCATGCACACCGCATACGATCGTAAGGACAATGCGGAACCGGCCAGCATAACCGCGCTAACTGTTTCAAAAGATCATAAAATCTTGTATGTTGGTAAGTAGAATTAATGAAGATTTTTGTTAGAAAATCAGATATTAAAACAGAAAAAAATTTCATTTTCCACAGGTGATGCACGTGGCCGTATATTCTCCTGGAGCGTAACCGAGCAACCGGGACGAGGTGTAGCCGATCATTGGCTGAAAGATGAAGTCACCGACCAGTGCGTGAAATGTCATGTGAAGTGAGTATAATTTGAAGACGGAATTGTTGTTAATATAAACTCAAGTATGACTTGTGAAAATGATTTTCTTAACTTAAAAAATTCCCTTTTTTCTACTGATTAGATTCAATCTCTACGAACGCAAACATCACTGTCGCAACTGTGGTCAGGTGTTTTGCAATAAATGCAGCCGTTTTGAATCGGAAATCTCACGCTTGCGCATACTCAAGCCGGTGCGTGTGTGTCAGGCCTGTTATAGTCAATTACGCGCCAACTCAGTGGATAATTAAGCGCATGAGCGACAAAGAAAACACGATGCAACACGTTTTAGCAAAGACAAACAGTAATTGACTCGATTCTTTGTTTTTTTTTTTTTTTGTACTCCGAAGCGCAATAGGCGCAAAATGTGTATATTTTTTGAGTGTACTCGATTTTGTTAAAGATTTTTAAATTTGTATATATCTAGAACCATATTACTTTTTATGCATATTTATATATTTTAAGCAATTTTCTATATGTATTTGAAAACTCATACGATGACGATATTATTCTGTGTCACCATCAAAGAAAAGAAGGCTGTTTTATAATGCTATTTATATTTTTAATTATTTTTCCAAAGCTATCGAAATGCCAATGTAAATCACTTAGATGGTAGAAAAAAAGGATTACACAAAAGATAATCCTCACTCAATATACCCCCACTACTTCTATTGTAAAACAAACTTTTTATATTTTCTATTTATTTATTACGGAGAACTATTGAAAAATTATATATTTTAAAAATAAACTATCGATTATTATTAAATAAAAAAAAATAATAATAATAATAATTAAAAACATAAACGAAAAAGCTTAAGCAAATAGCAAACGAAATGTGTCTAAAAACCACTAAAAAAAAAAGAATAATATAAAGAAAACAATGCGCTTGCTTTAATCTAATAAAAAGAAAGAAGAATGCAACACAAAGCAGCGATTATGACAAAAATATTGAGTTGCAGCTATAAATACAAAATATACAAAAAACAACTCCAATGCAAAAAAAAAAAAACAATGTTAACTTTAAATAAATATGTATTGTAATTTATTGCAGTGTACTTGTAAATTTATTGTAGCGGTAGTGAATCTAAAGCTTTTTCCTCTATCATTTCACTTGTGGTTGCGTGGCCTACGTAAATATTTGCGTATAGAAATAGAAAAAAAAGATTAGCAATTTAGCATATCTATTTCAACAAGCAAAATAAAGGAAGATATTGCAAACTTTAAAGAGAATAGTAATGCGCATGTTGCTGCTATTAAACGTATGCATATGAGATAGCATTTTGGAAACAAAAAAAAAAAGATCCTGAGCAACAAAAAGACATGTAATTAGATATAGAAATCCATGCAAACTTTTAGCTTAAAATTTGTGTTTATGCATTACAAAAATTGTAAGAATAAAAATTTGTGAAAATATAGCAAATGTAAATTGCAGACGGATATGGGAAATCTACAAAAACAGAACAGTCGCATGCAAAAAGTATTAAAAAATTTAACCGAAAAAAATATTTGTTGTATTTAGAAAAATTCGCTGAAAATGGCGAAATGTCTCTATGCTTGTACCATAAAAATTGTCAAATATATTAGAAAATTTAGTTGGAAAACATACATACTTATGCTGTGTTTCTATTGTTGAGTGAACATGTTCTTTCATTGAATTAAAAACAAAAAATGGTTAGTAGACAATTTGACGTTGCATGGTATACAGAGGAATCGGCTGGTCAAAATGAAGATTCTTACTTTTTTTTATGTGACAAATTGGGTAAAGAAAATAAAAAAACATATATATTATTTTTTTGAGCAAAATTATTAATATTCCACCTCCGAATATTTTTCGTGGTATAAAATAAAATGTATGACGAGTAGAATTTTATGGAAGAAAATTAAAAAGGGCATACTTTTCGATATTATCGCTTATTTTCAATACTTTAAGCCTTGTTTGTAAAAATTGGACTAAAAAAATGCCAAATCTTCTGCCTTGTTAAGGAATATATGGATTTAGATATAAGGATCACTCAAAAAAGCGTTAACTTTTCAAAGTCATAGACATTACACAATCAAAAAAAAAAAAGTATTCCAGTAAACGAAAATAATTAATTCCAATAGATTTTAGTTCAAGAATCCCAACAGTCCGAACTTGAATGCATCAAAACAATCGGCCTTTGAGGTTAAAAAATGTTAGGATTGTCAACTCTACTTGGCCGGGCTGTTGTTGTAGCGGCTACCCAGCGCTGCCTAGATCTTCTAGTGCCTCAATCGTTGTCGTCAAGCTCAACTAAGGGGATACCCAGGAAGCGTGCAACTCCAACTGGGTTCGTCCCTAGGGACAGGGGTGTTAGCTGGGTTGGGTTTAAGGGGCATATGAAGAGATGCGTTGTTGTTGTTGGGGTGACTCTGCGCATGCCGCGCACTCGTTGGGCACTTCTGTATTTAACCTGTTCAAGTAAACGTTTAACCTGCTGCAGTAGCCAGAACGAAGTTGGGCTATGTGGTGCGAGTCTAACGCACTGGAGAGAGCATTCATTGCGTTATATGGATTTTATGTACATATGTATGTACACGATAGCAGTTTGATGGGTAGTTGGTGCTAGGAGAGGCATTCGCCGAACGGTGCAATGGAAATGCCCAAATGCTTTTGAAATCAGTTCTGGCTAGGTGGAGGAATGGCTAAGAAATCTCGGAGCTCTCATTGGCTTTTAATGAAATTCTAGATCTGTTTGAAATCTTGCTTAATTAAGTTCGATGTTATTTGTATTTTTTATTTACATTTTCCAAAATAATTAATCGTAAAAGTAAAACCAAACAACTTAGAAACAGAGTAAACCAAAATAAAAAAAAAAAAACATTAAAGAAAGTTTACATAATTGTTGTTCTAAAATAAGAGCAGTGAATATGCGAAAGTAAAAAGAAAAAGAAAAAATATGAATAGAAAAGTCGTATAAAAATACAGAATCGAAAGTTTGTTCAAAATTTGTGTGTATGTGCATAAATAAAGCGGCATATTATTCTACTAGTATTGAATTTGAGCAAAGATAAACAACTGAAATGCTTTGAGTTAGCAAGGCGGCTAAAATTTAGCGGCAAAGTGACAAATAGAAAAATCGAAGTAGGTAAGTAAAAATAGTCGATGACCAAAATGTGAAAATTGTATGTAAATTTTGTGCAAGTTGACAAATAATAAGGTAAAAAATTATTAGTAAAACACAAAATATAAATTAGAGATAAATATGTATGTATGTATGTGCGGTTAGGAAAACAATTGAAATTGAAAAATATGCAGGCGAAAGATAAAATAAATAGCCGCGAAATTTAAGTGAAAAAATGGAACTATACAACAAGCACTTACATGTACACGTAGTATCTACACGTCCTTACATACACAAATATAAACCTATCTACAGTATTGTTCAGATAAAAGTTACCACTGCATATAATGTGGCCGAATATCGAGCCCTAACCGCCAAAAAGATGTATGTAAGTGACATTTTTTTTTCAAAATTTTATTTTTGATGCAGAAATGCATCCAGATGCTCAACGAACATTTCTGCATCAATAAAAAAAAATTTGGGAGAAAAATGTCGCTCATACCTTTTTGGCAGTTAGGGCTCGCTCGATATATGTATCTATGTATATTTCTTTGGTTTATTTAATGTATAATATTTTTTTATAAAAACCTAGCTACAACCAACACCACATAAATCCTCATTTCAAACTTTATACCAAAGCCATAAAAATTCAACAAATTTTAACCAAAATTTCACACATTTTATACAGAATTTTTAAACAACTATTTGGTATGCAGGCTACAAAATACCGTTGATTTTTGGATTTCTTTTTTGCTGCCGGTGCTAGGCGTTCTCTTCCATATAAAAAAGTTAAGTTGAACATACTTTGTATGCGAGACATAGTCGCAAACAAAAAATAATATTAAAAGTCAGCGATATTTTGTAGCTATAAATCTATAAAAATAACCTCTATAAAAGCTTTGTAATTTCGGTAATTTTTTTTTGAATTTTCATAATTTTTATACAAAGTTTGAAATGTGGATTTATAAGATGTTTGCTGCATAACGAGCTGGACTTTTATAAAAAAATATTAAACATTAAATAAACCAAAGAAATATATCGTCGCCTTAGAGTGCAAACCTGCTAACGACCAAAAAACATATTTTACTGTAGAGGCAAAAAACTAAATATATCTTTGACTCTTAGTCTAAGGGGCAAATCCTACATATAGTTTGTTAATCGCGCGACGTTCTATGGCCCTAATCCAGAACGAATGAAAAAAATTACGTTTTTGTGGTTTTTTTGGCGAATTTCTAACTTAGCAGGTTTTAGTTTTTGTATTTTCAAAATTGAAGTGGATTTAGACGGTTTTTTGTATGAATAAAATTGTTTCTATTTTATTTTTTGTGACTACGAGCTCAATTTAAATGTTAATTAATTGAGTATTCCATAGATAAACACAATTATATATATATAAAAAAATACAACAGATTTATTCTTCCGTTTATTGCATCAAAAACAGGCAGTTTATAAAACATATATTAGTAACTATACAAGAATGATAGAATACATGATTGCGCATTCCTGCGGGTGATGACGTCAAGGTAGCAACGAATAGGAAAGAGTAATTGGAGATAGAGGAGAGAAAGAGTGTTAACTGTCAAACCATGGAGGTCGCACATATAAACATCTCTGCATACATACAAACAGTTTGCTAAAATGACGTCACGCGAACAGCTGATTCTGATACTGGAGATCTCATACTTTCTGCGAGCAATCGTACGCCTACTCTTGTATAAATTCGGAAGGTGAGAAAACGGCAAGGAAACAGCTACTGGGGATTTTCTTTGCGGTATTACTTCCCATTCGTTGGAGAATCTTAGTTTGAAATGTACATCGCCACTTGGTGTATACCGTAGGGCTCGTATATAAGTTACTTTAGCAGCATCTTTGCCGCGACCGGGACGAATGCTATTAAAGAATTGAACTGTGTTAAAGCTTTTAAAGAACGTGTAACTAAGATAAGTTACGTCATATGGTTTTGGATTTTTTTCTAGCTGATCTACATACTTCAGTGTATTCTGCAGGAACCTGGATATCTCTTTTCTTAAGTGCTCGTTCGATAGCGGAATGGATACAATCAGCTTCTATTTGGGTATGGCCTACTTCAAGAAACTTTTGCTCAATAATGATATTAGGTGCATTCTTTTGCAAACAAGCTACAAAAGAACACTCACTTAAATGACGAAATACACGCAAAGCAACAACACAAACTCGGCTATTTATCCGAGCCCAGCCCGAGCCAGGTCGGTTAAAAAATACGCGACCTGAAGGCTAGTGTTGGTAAGTGAAAAAACTGCTGTATTGTGAATTGTTAATGGGA